ACTCTACCGTTCAAAAGTTTGGGGTCACCCAAACAATTTTGTGTTTTGCTGAAACGTAACACTTATTCACCACCATACGTTGTGAAATGAATAGAAAATAGAGTCAAGACTTTGACAAGGTTAGAATTAGTGATTTGTATTTGAAATAAGATTTTTTTTTTTTACATAAAACTTCGCTTTCGTCAAAAAATCCTCCATTTGCAGCAATTACAGCATTGCAGACCTTTGGCATTCTAGCTGTTAATTTGTTGAGGTAATCTGGAGAAATTGCACCCCACGCTTGGTTGGATGGGCACTTCTTGCTTACCATATGGTCAAGCTGCTCCCACAACATCTCGATGGGGTTCAGATCTGGTGAATGCGCTGGCGCTATGCACCTATGTAAATATTGCACCAAAAACCAGACATTTGCAGCTAGAATAATCATTTACCACATTAGCAATGTATAGAGTGTATTTCTTTAAAGTTAAGACTAGTTTAAAGTTATCTTCATTGAAAAGTACAGTGCTTTTTCTTAAAAAATAAGGACATTTCAATGTGACCCCAAACTTTTGAACGGTAGTGTATATACATATATATATATATATATATATACATAAATAAATTGCAGTGGAAAGAGCAGTTTTAGAACGATGTGACCCCAATGTGACCCCAATGTTCAATGTGACCCCAAACTTTTGAACGGTAGTGTATATATATATATACATAAATAAATTCCAGTGGAAAGAGCAGTTTTAGAACCAAAGAGGAGGCAGCAAGGCTGATAACGGTTTACGAAGTTTTCCTCATTTACACAAATGTCTCTTAACAAACTGGGAAAAAACATTAGTAATGATTTGTGCATTTATTGCATGTTGAAGCTCTGTTTTCCAAGAAAAAATAGCCAATGAAGTGGATGGATGGGGGGGAAGAGAGGGTAACAAACTGATCATTTCCAAGTGTCAATGCAACATTAAACATTACCATCAAGTGGGATTTATTCCAGACATTTATTTCTATTTATAAAAGCCACAAATAGAATAATTATCAGAATTATAAATAATAAATCCTCAAATTATCGCTGTGTTTACCAAAATCATTATACTTTAAAACTTATGACATGTTTCTGATTTTTTAACAGACTTTCTTAATCTTCTAATCAAGCCTAATAAATAAAACACGGTTCTGTTTTTTTTTCCTGGGTTGGAATTAGTGTTGCACCGATACCAGTATCAGGCAGGGCGCCGATCCAGCACTAAAATAGTGGTATCGGTATCAGCGAGTACCAACAAATAGGGCACTGAAACCATTTTGACAGCCAAAAGTTTATTCAACTATTGTCACCCATTCCAGGTAGGCAATAAAAAGTTCTACTGGATTCACTTTGTTTTAGTCTTTTTCCTGCTTCACAAAGGAAGGCAGCAGCTTGACAAAGTGATGATGGCAATTATTTTACATCCAGGTAGTATGCAGTTCTTCATATACACACACACACACACACACACATCAATTTCAAACAGATGGTATCGGTATTGGCCAATAAAGCACAGGTATCGGTATCAGGGCCAAAAAATGGCATCGGCGCAACACTAGTTGGAAATTCTATCTTTAATTTTATCTACCGTTCTCAACTTGTCCACTAGATGGCAGACTCAGTCTTTCGGAGGGGAGTTCTTTAGGTTTAAATCATCCCATTCAATAATGTTAACCTTATCAGTGTAAGTTATAAACTTCCAGGATAAGGTGCTGATATTCTGCCTTAGAACAGCCCAGATTTGCACATCTTTCAATTCTATGCATCAGATCAGGTTCATGAGATTATGTTGGAAAACCTGGGAGAGTGGGGTGAGTCACTCCACCTCAGCAGCAGGCAGTAACAGATGCCATACCTCCTTCACCTCCACTTACATTTAGCCGCCTGGCTGATGGCTTTGGATGAGAGCTGGTGTGGAGCGGGTGGGGTTCTGCTGGCTCATTAGCTTAGTCACCCAAAGCTCACATCGATTGCATAGATTTTAGTTTTTAGAGTCCTCTTGTGTGAGTTAGAGTTAGCACATTTAGCCAAACAGACTACAATTTATCTAAATAAAAACAAAAAAGCAGTGTGTTGTCTTGGACAAACTCGTTTTTAACATTAACTCAAACTTACAAACCAGAAATTACAAAATTGCACTTATTATTTCTAAATCTGTTTATCAAAATGTTACAGCATCTCACAGAGTTAAAATAATAAATCTAATCTACAGAACTTTTGTTTAAATCATTTATATCCTGACCTTTTTCAAATTCTTTTCAGTTACGGATCTGCGGTATCCTGTAAGTTGTACAGTTTTTATGTGAAATAACATCATAAAATAGTCTTTTGTTGTTAAGTGGAATCAAATTTTTCCCAGAAATTCCCCAAAATGTTCTGCTTGCATTAATATCTGTCTCGTCTTAATCACATTTTTGCAGCTTCTAATAAAATTTCCACTCTTTTTTTTAAGGTTTTCCCCATTTCCTGCAATAAACACAGCATGATGCAGCCACCGCCTTGTTTCACTGTTTCCAGAGCTTTGCATGTTGATCATGCAGTTCATAGTTTTAGGTTTTTGAAACCAAACATTTCTTTTTTTTTACAGTCTCTCATCATAATATCCTTTCTTTATTGTTATATCACAAATAACAAACTTCAATATACTTCAGTGTTTGGGATTTTGTCCTCGTTTTTTTCCCTCCCTGTTGTCATTCAACATAATGCATTCTATTTTTGCCTCTATTGAAAACATGTTTACTTACTTTAACACAATAGTTTCATGTTAGCAGGGTAGGGCGTGAAACATTTGTGTTAAAGTAACTAAATATACTTAAGCAGATGCAAAAAAAGCATGCATTATTTTTTTCAGTGCTCCAGTAAGGCTCTGTAAATGGAAAACTAGAAGTCTCATTTAACACAAATTTGAAATCCAGTGTTTTTCATTCAAGCAGCTCTTTATTTTACCTGGCAAGGGAGAACAGACAGAGTGTTGCCAATATTCAAGCCTGTTCTGGTCAAACAGGTTTTCACTGACTACTTAAAAGAGAGATTCTCATCAGTTTCAACAAACAGAAGCATTTTGAAATAATATTTAGCCTCCAGGATTCTAGAGTCTTACCAAAACATCTAAAACTGGAAAACAGCTTCTGAGGCATCAGCAGGATAAGACCAACTTGTATAGGAGGTGCTCTGCTAGAACAAATACGTTTATAAGTAAGTGAATAAAAATCAAAACTCATAAACAACAGGAGGAGATGTGATAGTGAATTGATTTCTCTGACCAAAGGGTTCCTGAGAGGATCAGAGCCTTATATTACTGCCTTACTTGCTGCGCTGCTGATTGAATAATTGTAATGTTATAACATGGACATATACTGTACATATAAGCCCTGAAATGATGCAGGACATGTGTTTAGGTAAGGTTTCTGGTATTAGATGCCTGCCTATTGCTAAATAAAGCCATTCAATTAGAAGACCTTTGCAGCTCAGTCAAATTACAAGGAATTAATTAGCTTTTAATTTCTGATTACTACTCCCAGCGGATTTAGCTCTAAATGGATCCTCTGCCCCCGCTTTGCCCTGCCAGCCCTGACCTTTGGCGTTCCCTCCTTCACTACATCCAATAATCTGTATTCTTCCTCTTCTGCTCCATTCTTTCCTCTAGCCGGGGCATATCTGCACCTGCAGCAGGTCTAAGAAGTATGCAGACTGTTACTCAACAGCCAGGAGCATCTGTGATGGTATTTTATATATTTTAAAGTTTAGTAGGAGGACTGAATGCTGATTCAGCAGCAGGTTTAACCATTTAAGCAGTTTGTACCACCTTTGATTTTCAGCAAAAAGGCCCTGCACTCAAACCAAGGCTGGATGCCTCACATGATGCATGTTCTCCCTG